CTAATACTTAGCCAATGTTCCAGCACCTGAAAGCCCCCACTCGGGTTACAAGCTTGCGTTACAGAGCTCGGCGGTACAAACACCTCGTGCAGGGTTTATAAAGCGTAGTGTGTGATATGAACCAAGCAATGTGGGACAAGTTGCACTCGCTTTGCCTCTTAAGATCAGATCTTGAATAAGCTCAGAATTTCGTCTATACTTTTAAGTGGCGATTTAGGGAGTTGAGTGTTGAAGATTCTATTTCTCTCAAGGAAGATAACCAATAATAAACACTTCACATTCAAAGGAGACTAAAAGAAAGTTTGTAGTGTTGCTTATTTTGTTTACAACGATTCTTGTGGATGCTAGAGGATCCTCAAGACCTTGTTCTTGGTAACACTGGTTGGTGAAAAATAGTAACATCAGTTCAAACATTGACATAAACAATTTTCTCCCAGGAAACAGTAAACACAAATTAAAGTAAACATAAACATGGCATACTCAGATCTCACAACCTTCTGATTATAATGAAAATTGTGCTGCTTTTCTTTCTGTTTGCTAATTAACCAGCAACTCACCCTTTTTCAACATTATAGAAACACAATAGACGGTGACATTTTAATGCAGAATATTGCATATTTGCAGATCATGCCTCCTCCTTGGCAAACAATCATGTGAATGAAGGACCTGCAAACAAGATGAATTAAACTAATCATATGCGTTGATCAGCATAATTCAGTTAAATGGTTTTTGCCTCTCCACGTATTTGTGTAAACAGGGACGTCAACGCCACTCGTGGGATCGTATATTAATTATGATTAATTAAATGGTTGTAGCATTTTAATGTGCTAAATTAATCAATTCATGAGTTGGAATGATGGGGTGGGAAGGGACACTACATAAACATTGCCTAGGGAACATATAGATCCAAATCAAAATCATGTTACCTCTCACTGATGATTGAAGTGGATGAGATTCCATGTCCCCCTCTTCAATCAACACTATATATTAAGCACTCTGAATTGTACATCAATCAAAAGTTTCTAAGTCTTCTGTTCTATCTTCTCACAACACACAAAGAAGAAATGGCTTTCCACACTCGCTCTAACAGCTTCCCTTCAATGCCACACCCGATCGTTCAAGAAGTTGACGAACATTTGTGTAGACTGAGGTCTTCTGAGGCCGCCTCCACATCTTCATCATCAATATGCCACAAACTAAGTGGCCTCCAAGACTTGCATGATTGTGTTGATAAGTTGCTTCTGTTGCCTCTCACGCAGCAAGCCTTGGCCAAAGAGCAGAACAAGAAATGGACTAATGAGCTATTAGATGGCTCTCTCAGACTCTTGGATGTTTGCAGCAGCGCCAAGGATGCTATCTTGCAAACCAAGGAATGCGTACAGGATAGCACAAAACTGAAATGGTATACAAGAAACCCCTCAAATATTACACTCTGTCGAGGACAAAGATTGGTTGTTTGAAGCAGAACAGGTTCAAGGTGACTTAACCTGCATGGTGCTCATTGACAGTTTGGCGGCATCCACAGACGTAAGTCCCTGCCAATATCTTTGTTAGTAGAGGAGTGAGGGCTACTGCCCCAAGAGTTTTGCATACCATCATTACAATAGGACATCCCCTTGAGCAATTAGGGTCACCTGAAAGGCTATTTCATAAAAAGCATTGAATGGAGTTGAATAAATGGCCTAGGCGGGCGCTAGGCGGCCTAGGCGGGCGCTAGGCGGCCTAGGCGGGGGCTAGGCGGGAGCTAGGCGGCCTAGGCGGGGGGCTAGGCAGGGTAGGTGGTCTAGGCGGTCTAGGCGGTCTAGGCAGGCACTGGAGAGAGAGAGAGAGAGAGAGAGAGAGAGAGAAACGAGGATGACGATGGTGCTATGAGGCGAGAGAGATAGAAACGAGGATGACGATGGAGTTATGTTTTAGGGTTTAGACAAGGGCCGTGCGGCTATACTATTTATAAAAAAATAAAAAATAAAAAAGACCATAGTAAAGCCGTTCGGCTATACTATTTTTTTAAAAATCCCGTGTATAGCGGCGTGGCTATACTATTTGTTAAAAAAAAAAAAGAGGAACGCATAGCCGCCCGGCTATACTAGTTTTTAATAATTAAAAAACCATAGTATAGCCGGCTATACGATTTATTTTTTAAAAAAAACATTGTATTTGCATTAGTTTATACTTTATAGATACTAATTTGCTAGTTTCGATATATATACTTTATAGATTTAAATTTTTGAATATATATTATTTTTATTCAATAGTATATGAAAATGGGGTGTATAATAAGTGAATTTTATGTGTATTATTGAAAATTTTGTAAAAAATCAAGTCTATTAAACATGAAAAATACATACGTACGTGTAAAATACGAGTATTAAACATAGAAATGCTAAAAAATTTATACGGCTAATAACTTTGGAAAAGTAAAAACTCAAAAGGGTACAATAGAGACTCGTGTAAAGGCCTAACAGTAATGGAAAATGCTCTAAGCTATCGATAAACAAAAATTGGGGAAAAAAGATAATAGTATCCATGCAAAGAGTATAGCCGCGCAGCTATACTACTTATAAAATACTCTGTATTTTTATATATACTAGCCTCTCTGCACACGCTTCCACGTGTGTGAGAGGCTTTTTTTTAATCACGCGCGCTACGCGCGACTTACAAAGTTTCGTAAATATTTTTTCGCAATTGTATTTATATAGATGTCCGTTTCAACAGTTTCATATTTTAATCGCGCACATGTGATAAATCGTCTTCTTAAAAATTTTCCTTTATCGCCCGTATTTTTCTAGACATCCGTCTTAGCAGTTTCTTTTTTTCTTTCATAGCATGTGAACTATTAAGATGGATGTCTAGAAAAATATGGGCAATCGGGATGGAGAATAGTGGGCGATACTCGTCAGTTAGCATGTGGCCAAATAATAGCGCAGTGTGGCGCATACTGCGCTAGCAGTTTCTTTTCTTAGATATGAGCATATGACAGTTTACACTGCGCTATTATTTTACTCGGCTATAAGCATATGGCCGAGTATGTGGCTTAGTCACTCGGGCTATTATTAGCAAGTTTACTGGCTCGATAATAGCGCAGTGTGGCGCAAGTGACGAGTATTAGTTTGTGGTCGACGCAGTGTGGCCCATACTCGTCACACTGCGTCGCACACTCGTCAGTTAGCGCAGATTGGCCAAATAATAGCGCAGTGTGGCCCATATTCTAACAGTTCACATGCGTCGATTGGCCAAATAATAGCGCAGTGTAGCGCAATCGATTATTTGGCCACACTGCGCCACACTGCGCTATTATTTGGCCAATTTGCGCAGCCGTGGGTAATAGTGAATAATAGCGCAGTGTAAACATAGTTAGCATTAGTTAGCGAGTATGGGCTATTATTCGCTATTTTCTAGACGTCCATCTTAACAGTTCACATGCTATAAAAGAAAAAAAGAAACTGCTAAGATGGATGTCTATAAAAATACGGGCGATAAAGGAAAACTTTTGAAAATGAAAAAGTGAAAGATCATTTAGAGAGGAACGGGTGTCGCAAGTGGTCTTGAAGCCTATGTGTTGTATTGGTGGTTAAACCTCTGGATTGGAAATATACCAAATTTACAGTGTTAAAAAAATTTCTCCTTTTTTTTTTCTTTTACTATTTTTGTTTCATTTTCTTCCTTTTGTTTCTCAGCAAAGAACACATTATCATTTCAACTGTTGTAGTCAAACAAATTCTTTGATCCCATTGTTGTTAGGAAACAAACAACATTTAATACAATACAGAATTTTTTATGAATATTACTAAATTTCAAGGCTGATAAACCTCAAGAAGTTGAAGACCCACACGTGCAGCCGATCTATCTACAACAACGATGAGAGAACAATAACTCCTGCACAACAATTATCGTGGGTTTGATGATTCATGAAGCCAGTAGCAAAAGAAAACTTGAAGTATAATGAAAAAATAAAACAGAAAAACCTTTCCTCCCTTTTCCTCCCTCCGACTCTATTTTAATTCCTGTAGCAAATGGATCCCCTGAGAAATAAAAGAAAACCAAAAAGAGGGATAAAAAGAAGGCATCAAACCAAAGCGTTATAAAAAAACCAAACCAAAAGAACTAAAAACTGGAGAGAAGGCAGAGAAATATATGTATAATTAAAAGATAATCAAAAGCTTTTTTTTATTGATTCTATTAAATGTCAAATGTCACAAAATGCACAAAATCATGAGAAAGAGAAGTACCAAAGAGGATTGGTGAATTAATTAGACATCACGATTTTGTACCCCAAACCCAAACATATGATTCTGTATTCAGAAGGAATAAAACCATGAACCAAAAAACAAAAAAACAAAATAAAGCCAGACTAAGCATCCAAACAGATATATCACTTAAGTGGTGTAATGAAAACATAGAATAAACAATTATTTTAATCCTCTCCCAACAAAGTCTGCTCTATTCGCAAACGCCTGGATCGAACCAGGACATGAACTGCAGCGGATTTGAGTTGGTTTTTCAATTTGTTTTTTAATTTGTCTCCGCGTTCTTCAGTTCTTCTTCTTTTCTAGGCAACCGTTGTTCGTGGGTTAAATCGTTCTTCACCATTCCCTTGTGGTAGCACACCACGACTCTTTTTTTCTTTTCTTTTTTCTTTTTATTAAGTCAGTGGTGTTTTACTATTTCACCCGCTCTTAATTAAAATGGTGTGTTTATAATTTTTTCTTTGACAAAGGGTATTTTCGGGGTTTTTGAATGTTTCACTATTCTCTTCCTTTTGCTTTATATATATATATATAGATACTAGAATCCCTGCACGCGCTTCCGCACGTGTGAGAGGCTTTTTTTAATCACGCACGCTACGCGCGACTTCCAATGTTCCGTAAATATTTTTTTTCGCAATTGTATTTATATAGATGTCTATTTTCACATTTTCATATTTTAATCGCGCGCGTGTGATATATCGTCGTCTTAAAAGTTTTCCTTTATCGCTCAAATTTTTCTAGACGTACATCTTAACAATTCGCATGCTATAAAAGAAAAAAAGAAACTGCTAAGATGGATGTCTATAAAAATACGGGCGATAAAGGAAAACTTTTAAGACGACGATATATCACACGCGCGCGATTAAAATATGAAACTATGAAAACAGACATCTATATAAATACAATTGCGAAAAAAATATTTACGGAACATTGGAAGTCGCGCGTAGCGTGCGTGATTAAAAAAAGCCTCTCGCACGCGCGGAAGCGCGTGCAGGGAGGCTAGTATATATAAAGCAAAAGGTAGAGAATGGTGAAACATTCAAAATACCAGAAAATGCCCTTGGTTAATGCAAACATTAAGAATTGAAATTATTAATTAAATGAGGATAATATGGTAAATTCACACTTTTTCATATTAAAATTTTTTTAAATTCAAAGAAAAATCAGATAATGGATCATTTTTCTATGGAACACAACTACCCATTATCTTTTTTAATTCTAAAATAAATTTAAATTTTAAAAATAAAAACCACTCGTAGCCGCGGAAGCGCGTGTGGAGAGGCTAGTTTAGATGAGACATTAACAAAAATGCCTTTAAAAATAGATCACATAAATGACATGATGCATTTTAATTAGAACTAGCCTCTCTGCATGCGCTTCCGCGCCTGCGAGAGGCTTTTTAAAAGAAAAAATTAAATTTATTTTAGAATTAAAAAAGATAATGGGTAGTTGTGTTCTATAAAAAAAGGATCCATTATTTGATTTTTCTTTTAATTTTAAATTTTTTTAATATGAAAAAGTGTAAATTTACCATATTATCCTCACTTAATTAATAATTTCAATTCTTAATGTTTGTATTAAATAAGAGTATTTTCTGGTATTTTGAATGTTTCACCATTCTCTACCTTTTGCTTTATATATACTAGCCTCTCTGCATGCACTTCCGTGCCTGCGAGAGGCTTTTTTTAAATAAATTTAAATTTATTTTAGAATTAAAAAAGATAATGGGTAGTTGTGTTCCATAAAAATAGGATCCGTTATTTGATTTTTCTTTTAATTTTTTTTAATATTAAAAAGTGTGAATTTACCATATTATCCTCATTTAATTAATAATTTCAATTCTTAATGTTTGCATTAACCAAGGGCATTTTCTGGTATTTTGAATGTTTCACCATTCTCTGCCTTTTGCTTTATATATATAGATTTATATATATAGATAAATATAGATATATATATATATTACACTTTTATTCTCAAATTGTATTACCAGATACGTTTTCACTATTTTAATTTTCTGAATATATTTTCCAATTAATCTACCAGACACATTCTCAAATCCTAAAAATACAAATTCGTTTTCTCATTTTTATTCTCCGAAAATATTATCTGAAAACATGAACATACGGGCCTTATGCCTTTATAATTCACAAACCCGTTGACAGATATTTGATCTTTATTTTTCTTCAAATACCCGTTTCGTTAGCCACCCACCCACCATATCTTGTGGAGCCCACACATGCACTGATTAGGAGGGTTATCCAATTTTAATCACTCGCTCGCACCTCGCGCGCGGCACACAGACCCTTTGTGTGTAACGCCACTTGCCATAGGAGGCGGATTGGAATTTAGAAGTTAGAACTCTACCCTTCCCTTATCTCAAGTCTCAACTGAATCAAAAATCGAAGGCCATATCTCTCTCGCAGAGCCATGGCGGCCATAAGCTCTCTTGTAGGAAACGTGCCACAAATCCGTCCGTCGCGGAGAATAAGCAGAGACGACAGTTATTCGAATAGGCGGGTGAATTCGGTGGTTTGTATTCGGAGTGCTCGTGGCCCTTTGACCCCTGTACATATTAATCGTCTATCTTTATTTTCCCCAACCAGGTAATTTCTTGTTTCCTTCAAATCCTATCCTTAGGGTTTCTTTGCTCTTTCTCTCTTCCTCATAGGGTTTATTCCCAAGTCCTTGTTATCTTGCTAGCTCTTGAGTAAACGGACAAGGAATTACATGCACTTGCAATAAATGTAACGGCGAAGTTCACTGGAAACCTCCATTGTTTTTATCTGCTTTTCACCACGGTTTCTGTCAATTTTTGGTGTACATTGTGAAACATAGACAAAAAACTGCAGAATCTTTACTCTACTTGCTGCTAAAACATCATAATTTTATTTTTTTTTTCTTTTTTGCTTTGTTAGCTCTTTTCAGTTGACCCACCTTCCATTTTATAAGGTGCTATTTCTAACCCATCCCCATAGTTCAAACTCTTTTTTCCCTTCCTAAACCATCATCACCTCATCATCTTTGTTTTCTTTTCCTGGTCTGGTCGAACATAATCTTGTTTCATTTGGCCGATTCTTCAATCTCTTTAATTTATTGATTCTTCCCACTTGATTTCACTGAAGGGACTCCAAACCCGCCCTCACCGCCACCTTTACGAGTTATGTCATTTACATTATTTGTTTTTGAGGTAGATTGTGTTTGTTGTTTGCTAAGATTTATATAGATGCTGGGCACTTTCAGAGGGCATCCCTCTGTGTGTATACATATGCATGATAGAACAAGAATGATGATATGAAGTGCGATAAATTCCAGTATGCTAAAGCTAGTCTTTTGTTTTTATTTTCAAATTTCTTTTGGTTTGGTCGAGCAAGACAAGTTTGTTCAGTTCTAGACAACCAAATTATTACAGTTATGGTTGGCTAATTTTTTATTTCTTTATGAGAAACAATATTATATTAAAGAGATGAAAAAGACAATACAAAACTTAGTGAACCAGAGGTCCACCAACAAAAGATACAGCCCTCAAAAGCAAATCCAAAAACACCTCTTACATTGTAATACAATTCTACAAGCTATCCTACATGAGCTTCTCAATCTAATAAATTACAGAAAATGAAAGATCCCTAAAGGCTGGAGAAAGAGTAGCCCATAAGGATGCCCCAAACCTGAGTTTTTTCCAAAAACTCTCCTCTACACCCCCTCTTTAGTTTTCAAATATTCTTCTATTTATCGCAAACCAAATTCCTCTGAAAGACAGCTAACACATCACAATTCCCCAAAATTGTTGCCTTCCTTCCACCACCAAGACACATATACATTACAAAGAATATTTGATCATGACTGAGGAATAACCCAATTAATCCCTGCCGCCTTGACTAATCGCCAACCCATTCTCAATGCACTTGGACAATGTAAGAACAAGTGAATTTGATTAGCCACCATACCCTAATTGGCTAATCAAACCTACAAAAGAAAACCCAAAGCAATATTAGTTTGAAGCAATTAATACATATGTGCACTTTGTTAAAAAGGCTCCGAAACAACGATGCGAAGTGGGTTCTACTTTGCAATCAAATTGTGTGAACAGGAAAATCATTAGCCAAAGTTTAGGGTTTTGAGACATATATGGGTTGTGGAGAGGGAAGATGAAGAGTTGGGTTTTGTGTGTATAGGTATCAAATCAGATTGATAGTTTAAGCGTTTTCATTAAATATGGCTGAATAAAATATGGTTTCTGATAGAACCACCGTTAAAGGATTTAAAAAGAAAAAAACATTCCGAAACAAGAAAGAGGTTACTGCCTTGGTATTATTAGGCATAGATAACAAGATTACTAATTCCCTGTTTAACATGATGAAGAGTAGAAATTGGGGATGACTATTTTTGACAGACCACGATAACCCAGTTTGAAACCTACACAATATTATGGGGCTGATAACTTAGTATCAAGCATAGTCGTGTTCATGTTGAAATGGCGTTGACTGTTAACACAACTAATCAACTGGTTGTGTTTCAGTTCAACCCACCTATCCAGAAGATAACATGTACTGACTAGTATGCAACTCACTACCGGTTTATATGTTCATAACTGTGTGGTGTGGACCTGAATATATAGTTGTTGTGAATGTTCTTCTATATTATGTAACTACAATTTTCAGTGCTCTCTTTATTCTTCATTGGATATAAACGATAACTTTTATTCACTTTTTCTTTTGGGCATTTTCTTGTGGGTAAAAGGCGTCTGCTCGAAGTTGGTGCTGGTAGATCAGGCTTACATAGAAAGAAAACTAATACTTGGGAACAATGTATCTCCATGCTCAGAGAGCCAGTGACTGAAGCACTTTTTCCAGGAAAGTATAACTACATTTCTAGCTCTTTTTTCCAAAACAGAAGTCGTCATCGCCTTAGGACGTCTACACCGAGTGTCTTTAATGACAAAACTTCTTTTTGTTTGTCCAAGCCTAAACTTGACAATGCTGCTGTAAGTAGTGCACAACAAATTTCCTTCTGTTGATGCATCTTGCATTTTATGTCCTGTGTTTGACTATTATCTGGTGTTTTCAGATATGTTTGTACAGTATGTCTATAATATGTGTGCATTTATGATAACATATGATATTACTACCCAGGTTGAAAACTATTAATATTAAATAAATCATTATT